GCCTGATTGACGCCTAACTGTTCCCCTGCCGGCCCGATTGCCCCCAACTGCCCTCCCCTGCCAGCCCGGTTGCCCCCAATGCCCTCCCCTTCGCCAGTCCCCCGCCAGCCACAGCCCCCCCTTTCGCCTGCGCCTCCGCGGGGACCTTCCGGACGCTCCCTCGCCGCTTCCACGCAAGAACAACTCGGCACCTGCCCAGTTTGCCAACAGCTCTGCTCTGTTCCCCTTTGGGCCTTTTTTTTTTGTCACCGAGTAACTTTTTTTGTAAGGACTGCAGATGGTCTGCCCGGTCGCGCATTTTCTAGGCTCCGCGAGCCCGCATTCCTACACAAAGACGGGGACTCCCACTCCCACCCTTGGACCTCGGCGCCTACATTGCCAAGGGTTTCCATGGCCGAGCGGGGCGCTTGCCAAGCGAGCGGGGTGGACCGTCGGTGCTGCCGGAACACGAAGAAGGGGAACGGGAACGTTACCCAGGGTGTGGGTGGGGGAACTTGAAGAGGAGGTGAGATTTGAGTTGCACCCTGAAGGGCAGATAAAAATAGCGAAATTTTGAAAAAAAGGGGAAGAAGGGCTACTGCCGAGCTCTAGGTTCTATAGCTCATCACCCTGGAAGGAGTTGAGAATTGGGTAGCGGAACAGCGGGAAGTATCTCGGGAGGCAGGATGGACGCCGATGGAAAAATCTCGGAATGCTCAGCTCAACCGTTTAGCCTTGGTCCTGTCATTGAGGAGCCACTCAGCATTTCAGCAGCAGCGAGGCTGCGATCCGATGTTAATAACAGTAACACTTGTTGAGGCTTATCTGACAGTTACCGTTCTGCGTGGTTTGCAGCTCATTGAATCCTCAAGGACTCTTGGGGGCAGGTTTCATTGAGGAGCCTCCTTCACAGATGAGGGACACGGAGGCTTCCCCAAATGAAGCCACTTCTTCTGTAGATGACACCGCTAGAACCCGGTGGCCAGAGTTTAAACCCGAGCCATCTGGTAGTCTCTGCTCTGAAAATGAATCTGTCGAAAAGATTAACAGTAGTGTTACCTGTTTCTAGCTTTGCAGGTCATTTGTGGCAGCCCAGCAGAAGGGAATGGATACATAGCGTAAGAAAGAACGGGCAGGATTTAGATCCGCTAACCTGGGACCAGCCAGATGAGAGAGCCTGAGTTTCTGGACCAGGAAAACCTTAATACTCAGGAAGAGCCGACTGGTAGAATTAGGGTGTTGGGAAGGCGCGGTAAAGGTGATTTGCACTATAGATGATTGAGTTTATGTGGCAGTGTGACATCCCAGTAGGCTAGAATGGAACGCTAAAACATTTTTTGGTCAAGATTAGAAGCTCACAGTGTGTGTACATGGTTTATTCTGATTGTATAAGACTTTAAAAATGAAAAGTGTTCACATGTCTTTGCATGTTTCTTCATCTTTAAAATGAACTTAATAATACTACCAACTTCATAAGGTTTGTGAGGATTAAATCAGTTAATATGACATAGTACTTTGAATAATACCTGGCCTAGTAGCACTCACTGTTTTTGTTTTTGTTGTTAATCCTCACCCGAGGATATTATCTTCCATTGATTTTGAGAGAGAGTGGAGGGGAGAGGAGACAGAGAAAGAAACATCTATGTGAGAGAGACACATCAATTGGTTGCCCAGAGGTACATCATCCAGTGCCTGTGCCCTTGACACCCCTCACCCCTTTCAGTCTGTGGGCTTATAACCACTGAGCACTGGCTAGGGCGCCCTCACTGTTTTTACTTGTTAATTACTTAACAAGTGTAAATTGAAAGAACTGTGGAAAAGCATGGAGATTGGGAAAGAGAGCAGCCTGTTTTGGAATTACAGGTAATGTAGTTCATTATTAAGTTAAGGGTATAAAGTCAAGGCGGTATATTAGAACATGAGGTTCTTGTATAAGTTATATTAATAAGTCCATCTAACTTAGAAGATGAACTTAAGATCCAGAAGTCAGCACCAGTACAGAATTATTAATAGGGTTGGTGTTATAATGACAGTAAATATAATTCCATCTTAAAGAAGTTGTTTATATTATATATCCATCACTGTGCAATAGTTTCAGATGAGCGGGAGCCCCATATATAGATTTATAATTTAGTTTATGCTGTATAATAAGGATTTTATAAGCTGCACTTAGACAGTAAGCTATTTGATAAACATGGAGAAAGAAGCAGAAATAGCAATTGAAAGAATGGGAGGAGAAATGTGAAAGAAACTATCATAAAGTTAGAAGTGTAATATGCCAACCAGAATATAGTCTTTTGTTTTTTAGTTCCAGACTTTTCTTTCTGAGCATTCAAAATTCTGGCTGTAACCAACAGTGTGCATATAACAAGATACAACGATAACTTTTATTACTTAAAACAATAGAATTATATTTTAAGTGTTTGTATTTTATTCCTTAGCAGGATTCATTATTCATCTAACTCAGCGGTTCTCAACCTGTGGGTCGCGACCCCTTTGGGGGTCAAACAACCCTTTCACAGGGGTCACCTAAGACCATCGGAAAACACATATATAATTACATATTGTTTTTGTGATTAATCACTATGCTTTAATTATGTTCAACTTGTAACAATGAAAATACATCCTGTATATCAGATATTTACATTACGATTCATAACAGTAGCAAAATGACAGTTATGAAGTAGCAACGAAAATAATTTTATGGTTGGGGGTCACCACAACATGAGGAACTGTATTAAAGGGTCGCGGCGTTAGAAAGGTTGAGAACCACTGATCTAACTCATTCTGTTTTACTTGTTAGAAAATAGGCTGCGTTCTGCCAGTAAAAGAAGTAAAACTCAAGCCAGTGCTTTCTCCATTGTATTTTATTATCTGTCTTACTAGAGACTTAAAAATGGAATGTAGGCCCTGGCCTCATGGCTCAGTTTGGAGCGTCATCCCATACACCAGAGGTTTCGGGTTGGATTCCCAGTCAGGGATTGTGGGTTCAATCCCTGGTTGAGGCAACTGGTTGATGTTCCTTTCTCCCAAATCAATAAAAACATATCCTCGGGTGAGGATTAAGAGAAAAAAAGGAATGTAAATAATAGCCTGCTAATATAAGTTACTTATATAAGTTGTCTTTTTTTTTTTTTTTTTTTTTGTTTTCTACATTCTTTTAAGTAATTTCAAAAAGAAACGCTTTACCTGGATTCACTTATTAACATTTTACCTTGTTTGTTTTATCATTTGTCACCCCTCCCCCATGTATGTGTGGGTATAAGTTGCATACATGATGGCCCATTACTCCTAAATTTTAGTGTGTATTTCCTAAGAATAGGGATATTCTCTTACAGAATCACAGTAAAGTTATTTACTTTAGTAAATTTAACAATACTACATTTACTTTTTTTAAAATCATCTTTTATTTTCAGTTACATTTGACATAAATCATTATATTTCAGGTATACACCCCAGTGACCAGACATTACATAACTTAACTAGAGGCTCAGTGTATGAAAATCATGCACTGGTGGGGGTGGGGGTGGGTGGGTGGTGTGTCCCCTCAGCCCAGCCTGTGCCCTCTCGTAGTCCGGGACCCCTCAGGTATTTCTTGCACTGGGCCTCTAGTCCTATATAATAAAGAGCTAATGTGCAAATGGTCATCATGCCCTCACGCCATAACAGCTCAGGCACTCAACACTGGGGAGAGAAATGGGGACCAGCCAGGCTGCAGCCCAGGAGAGAGACAAGCCACACGCCCTGTGGTCCCGGGTGCCAGTGGCTGGAGCTCCAGCCTGGGAGAGGGACAAGCCACCCGCCCCACAGTCCCAGGCACCAGCATCAGCGGCCCAGGAGAGGGACAAGCCGCCTGCCCTGCGGTCCTGGGTGCCTGTGGCTGAGGCCCGGGCAAAGCCACCCACCCACGGTCCCCTGCGGCTGTGGCCAGCCTGGGTCCTGGGTGCCTGCGACCGGCCAGAGGGAGGGAAGCCTGGGTTCCGGGTGTGGGGTGAGGCAGAGGCGGTTAGGGGCGATTAGGCCAGCAGGGGAGTAGTTAGGGGTGATCAGGCAAGCAAGCGGTTAGGAGCCAGCAGTCCCTGATTGCGAGAGGCAGTCAGACATCCTCCTAGGGGTCCAGGATTGGAGATGGTGCAGGCCAGGATGAGGGACCTCCCTTCCCCATGCATGAATTTTGTGCACCGGGCCTCTAGTTATATAAAAAGTTTGTAACTTTCCATGTGTTAATTCTAGACATTGAAATTAGAAAACAAACAAACCCTGAAGCATATACAGAATACAGGTACATAGTTGAGGTGCTGAAATAGTTATATGAGGTTTATAATGAAAACCAGCATTTCCCTGCTGCAGGGCTTCTCCCACTTTTCTCTAAAGGTTAATTGCTATTAGCTCTTACCTGTTTCTCTTGTTATTTAAGATCATATTTTCAAATAACTTGCCTTACTGCTATTTTTTGCATTTTAGATTAGTATAAAGATGTAGTTCTCATTCTGTCTTTCGGCACCCCTTATCCTCCCAACATAGTTTTAATAATGTTTGTTAAAATCCTGTTTAGTGTTTTCATTATTATTGCTATGTTAATACTGTGGTATATAGTAACATTTACCTTCTTGCATAATCTTTATTTTTCTGAAGTTATCTTTCCAGTTGTTAGCTTTCATCAAATCTATTTAAGTTTTCTCATTAAGCAATTCTCAATTCAGTTATCTACACACAGTCATTTAGACATTTCTCTTGGACTCTCAGTTGCCCTACACTGATTTAGACTGTGGCTCTTTAAACTTGCTGCTTGATTTAGAGCGCCAGTCACCTTACTATTGAGTTTTCTGATCAACACTGCCCAATAAAACTTACTGCATCAATACAAATGTTCCTTTTCTGTATTGTCCAGTGTAATATCTGCTAGTCACTTAGAGTTTTTGAGCACTTGAAATGGGTCTAAAGCAGGGGTGGTCAACCCCTGGCACGAGTGCCAAACATGGCACGCCAGTAACTTTTGCTGGCACGCGAAACCCTCTCTTATAATCTTCCATTTACAATTTTTTTTCTTAATATCGACTTTTTTTATTTTTCAGATAAATTCAGTGTAGGTGCATCTTAGATAAATAAATAATTTTACATAACAAGTTATCTTAAAGACCATAGACATGGATTGACGAGAGAGGGGAAGAGCAATTTCTATGCCTCTGCCTTAACTCTTCCTGCCTTCCTAGATCTGACCAGTGTTTTGGTTTCATCCACATATGCTTGTGAATCTTTGTTCTCAGTGTTGAATTTTGTTAAGTCTCTTAATAGGAGTAGCCTGACGGATGAAAGTAGTAGCTCATGCATATCTCTGAAGGTCACAAAATATAAACCTGATGTAAAATCTCTGTCATCAGTGATGCAGCAGCAAAAGTCCCACTGATAATATCAAACGGAGTCATAAAGTTTTCTGTCAGACTATCATTGTACATGTATACATTAAAAAATAAATGTATTTTTATCATCATATACTGTGTTTTTGTCACTCGAATGAATTTTATTATTTCTTCAAGGTTCTTCACATACGTACACCTTAAGAGATATCAAGTAGGCGTAACATGTTCTCAAAAAATTAGGGTTGGCACGCAGAAGAATTTTGAGTCAGAGATTTTGCTGGTTTTGGCACGCACTCACAAAAAGGTTGCCCACCCCTGGTCTAGTGTGACTGAGGAGTTATATTTTAACTTCAGTTCTAATTTAAATATTCACATATGAGGCTAGTGGACACTGTATTGGAAGCTCAATTCAAGATGGTTTCATAATGCCTTCTTTACTCTATGCTATTTGTATGTATTTTTGAACCATGAGAATTAATGAAAAACAAAAATTTTAAAATTAAAAAAATAGATAGTTTCATACTCAAGTGATGGTTTCATACTTATTAAGTGGCAGTGGGTTGGATTTAATGTAATTGATGTAACTTTATTTTAAAGAGGAATATTTGGGACTACTACTTCTAAGAATTCCTAGTATAAAAAGCTCATGACTTAAAATTCTTTGTCACAGTTTGACACATTAATAATATAGTTTGATCAGAGTCCAGGGGTTCCGTCAATCATAAAGCCATGTTTTCTCTTTATAACTGAGTTTCCAATTTAAGGTGAGAATGCATTAGATAACTATTGTAAATTTTTAATATATATTTTAAAGAGCTATAAAATCCTGTGCTGCCTCATAATATTCTTATTTTGTTTTATGAATTGCTTAATAAGAACCAGCATATTTATACATTGCTATACTTATTCTATAATTACATAAAGAGTATTGTCTTTTATTTTATAGGTAGCTACATCAAGCTGGGAACCAGGCAGAACCAAAGGATATCATGAAGTTTCCAGGGCCTTTGGAAAACCAGAGATTGTCTTTCCTTTTGGAAAAGGCAATCTCTAGGGAAGCTCAGATGTGGAAGGTAAATGTGCCGAAAATGCCTACAAACCAGGTAATGATATTTCTCTTTACTCTAGATAGATTACTTTTATTAGAAATAAGTGTACTGCTGTCCTGTATAGTGTCTTGACATGCATTGGAGAAATATGTACCATTAAAGGAAATGCTCTATTCTTTATTTTAGAAGTATCTCCTTGTTTTATTCTGAAACAAGAACGAACTGTTTTTGTTTGCTTGTTTTATTTTTATTCGAATTACAGCTTTAGGAAGATAGGTATGTCTGTTTTCTTTCCTCATAGTCAATACCTACAGTAGTAAGCTGCCTTTATTTCTACATATATAGCTAGCCATGGAAGCTGAGTATATATCATTGTCTTTAGGGAACAAAAAAAATTGCACTATATTTCTTGAATATTTATAAAGAGTTCGAGTAAACTACTAAGGTAATACAATGTTGGAAGCTTCTAGGGAGATAGCCAGTTGAGCTCTCAATTACTGTTGGTTATATATCCTTTTTTTAAAAAAAGCACAAGTTCAGTATAAGTCAACATGACATTGCTGCCAAAACAAAACAAAATTTAGGGTTAGATTAATGAAATAACCAATCTACTAGTAAGACAAAGTGAGGTAATAGTTTTACTTTATTGCTCATTAATGACAACAACTGAAATGTCTCAATTTAAGAAACACACTAAAAAGAATATATCTAGAAAAAGAAAAACTGGAATGGTAAAAGGGAAATCATGTCAAACATAAAACGGTTAAAGAGCAAGGGATGTTTAATCAGGAAAAGAGATGACTTTATGGGTGTAACACCCGTCATTAACTAAAGGGCTATTGTTTAAGATATGGCTCTATTCTATATTACTCCAGTGGCTAGAACTAGAACCAATGCAAGTGACCACTAGAAAGAAGCAGTTTAAGATTCAATTTAAGACAATATTGTGAATATAGTGAAGAAAAACTTTCCAATAATTTATGTAGCTTTTCCACAGTGGAATGAACAAATATCCAGAGCAGAGGATCACTTATCGGAGATGTTAGAACTTCTAAGTTTTGTGGTTAGACTGAATTATATTAATAAACTGAATGCATATTAATAAAACTATGAAGCTTTTAAAAATACAAATTTCCACAGTTGCCACTGCAAGCCCAGTGGGTGTGGGTGGGGCCTGGAAGCACTGTAAGGAGCCTCCTAAATGATTCTGATTTGCCTGGTAGCCCAGTGGTTTGAGATCCTGTATTTGAAAACCACATAATTAGATGGCCTTTAAGATTCCTTAAGAGTTCCAAAATAATGGTTACCATCTTTATATAAACAACTTGAAGCTGTTTTATGTTTGTATATGAAAAGCACTTGAAAAAATAAATTGGAAATATCTAAAAGTGCATGTCGCCCTAACCGGTTTAGCTCAGTGGATAGAGCATCGGCCTGCGGACTGAGGGGTCCCAGGTTCGATTCCGGTCATGGGCATGTACCTTGGTTGCGGGCACATCCCCAGTAGGGGGTGTGCAGGAGGCAGCTGATCTATGTTTCTCTCTCATCAATGTTTCTAACTCTCTATCCCTCTCCCTTCCTCTCTGTAAAAAATCAATAAAATATATTTAAAAAATAAAAGTGTATGTCACTTTGACCAATCTTTAATCCCCTCAAAAGTCATGTGACAAAATTATCATATATCTAAAAGTGCTATTATTATATAAAAGAATGTCTCTAACCTGGATGAATTATAAAGAAATGATCATCAATGTTCATTTAATGAATGTTTACTGTGAGCCTGTTATATGCCAGTGAACAAAAATGATACAAACCTACCCCAAGAGAACTCAGCCAAATCACCAAGAAACTATAATGCTGTCGCATAAGGAAAGTAGAGTGCTATGGGAGCACATAGAAAAAAAAAAAAGTCTATAACATTCTGTGTAACCACTATCCTAAACTGAGGGTTAGGGGATGCAAATTAAGAGAATTGTGAGAGATCCTTGAAGTAGGATTTAGGTGGGGGAAGAGTAAGGTAGAAGGAGGGAATTGGAGAAAAGCAAAAGGTTGGATTAAACCTTTATTTGTTTAGAATAGTCACTGAAAATACTCTTCTACTAATCTCAGAGTCACTTCTGTACTTGGTTGTGTTTACCTGGCAGAAGTAGTACTCATATGGATGTTTTATTTATTATTAGTAGATTAAGTGTTGCCAGGTTTGTTTTGTTTTATTTTTATGGTACTTTCAAAACTTAAGAGTAAAGGCATCTAGACCATTACTGCTTTAAAGTGTGTACCTTCTAAAAATTAAGCCTATACTCAGCAGTTAAAAAATAAGATATAGGAGGTTTGAAACAATATGTTTTGTGTTTGTGTAATCTCTCCAGTGATAAATTAGTTCAGGTGACTTCTTTCGTATTTTTTTATCATTTTAAAATGTAATTTGTCTGTTGTCCCTCATGTCTTTTATTTATTCCTGTTGACTTTAGCTTTGTTTTTTGTTTTTTTAATCCTCACCGGAGGATATGTTACGGGGGGGGGGAGATAGTGGGTTGCCTCACAGTTGATCTACTGAATGATGTTCCAACCAGCTGAGCCACCTGCCAGGGCTAGCTTTGTTTTTAATGCGCTATCATTCTGTTATTGTAATCTATTTATATTTCCTAAGATAATTTAATGCCTATTTGTTGTCTTAGAAATTCACTATATTATTCTCAAGAATTGGAAAAACTTAATTTCAAAATTAATGAGTGTTACCTAAACTAAAAATGTTATATTACCTGAAAACCTCAATTTAATTATCAATAGATGGTGAGATGACATAGTAAATATTTTATTTAATAAAGAATGAGAATATTAGATATTGATGTTAAATGCTATAACTAATATATAAACTTTTGTCTTCATTTATCTTATTTGCTAGATTTTGAATAAACTTAAAAACATTTTTAATATATAAACACTATTCCATAGCACATGCTAACCTTTTATAAGAGCAATTCTAAACATATTCTTGATGATAACTTGAAACTTTACTTGTTTTATTTTAATCTTATGTTTTAATTGTTCCCTTATAGAATGTTTCTCCATCCCAGAGAGATGAAGTGATTCAGTGGCTGGCCAAACTCAAGTACCAATTCAACCTTTACCCAGAAACATTTGCTCTGGCTAGCAGTCTTTTGGACAGGTTTTTAGCTACTGTAAAGGTAATTAAATATTTTAGAATACACTTAAACACAGCCTCTTGTTTGAGGCTTTATATGCTAAACTGGGGGTATTAGTAAACATTCTATAAGATGGAAAGGAATAGGAAAACCTTCGTGGATGTGATATGTGTACCTGTAAGAAGACATGATGTCTTTTATTGCTTTAAATTTTCAGGAATGTTTCTAATTGTGTAATTTTTTTGCTACAAGTATTCCTAACTTATGCTTAACCTATGAAATTTTTGATCTCCTGATTTTAATGCAAACCATATAGCATTGGCAGAATGTTTAGTCATCTTTTAACATATTGGTGTACTAATGTGGACAGTGAATCAAACTAGAAAAGTATAAGCCTATTACACATTTTTCTCTGTCACTTCTTGTTTATTGACTATTGTCTGGTTTTCTGAACAATATATACTTTCTAGAGGCATACATTTGGAGCATAACAAGATGAACTGAACTGTCATAAAATAACTTGTATTTTTGTTGAATGGCAAATATATGAATACGTTTTATATTTACCCTTTTGGTATATCTTTGGTAATATTATGCAGAATCAGTCATAGTGGGCCCTCAACAGATTCAAAGCAGAAAGTTAGCATTTATTTAATGGCAAGGCATAAAAAAATTTAAAAAGCATTCAGTTGTTATTTGTATGCCTAGGATTATATAAGCTGGGGGAACTATGAATTTAGTACTGAGGGTTCTATACTCTTTTTTATTAGGTATGCAAGATAGAAGCCATTTGATGGCTATTCAGTTACCTTTTTATGTTTCAAACTAATAGTCTTAAGAGACTTTAAAAAACCTTAATTACAGTGATACTAATTGCCTAAAATCTGGGTTATCTGAGATGTCTACTTTTATCTCAGTATCAAGTCCCCCACCCCTCCATCCTGGTTCCCTATAACAACTAACCTCCCTTTCACAGAGAAAGATGCTTTTAAGGTCAGTGTCCTTTCTTGGGTCATATATTCTTCAAAAATGATTAATGAACTTATTGTAGCTTTTATTATAGAAAAGACTATTACTGACCTTATTAAATGTTTTAAACTGATTTGGGCAAGTTTCTAAAACAGAATTTTGCCAAGTATAATTTGATTTTTTCATATTTCTTATTTAATGGGTCCTGTCATGTTGTTAGCATCAGATATAGTACTGTTATTTAGATGGTTAGTCTATATTGAAACAATCTAAAATGTATTCATAGTTTAAATAAAGGCACTTAAACTTTAAATAAAATTTAAATAAAAGGGCTACAGCAAAGAATGGAGCCTTAATCCTAGCTGTGCAGAATAAAGTGCTATGAAGCTCTTTAAAAGTATGTTTAAAAGAATCTCTAGTAAGTGAGATCTGTATGTTTGTATGTGAGAATACATCCCGATGTACATCCAGGACTGAGAACTGTTAGTTGAAAAATAAAATCACACGTTTGCTGCTGGGATTCTTTTTATTACTAAATTCTTAGCAACAAGATCTGGCTCACTTCCTAGACCACTTGTTGGTGTCTCTAACCTCTGAGATTGTTTTCTCATCTATAAAAAGATGTAATAGACATGACAATATTTATGGAAGTACTTTCTGAACTGTATTAACTGATTAGTATTAGTGATTATTTTAAAATATTGATAGTATTGACCAGCTTTTATTATCTCACACAGGCAGAGGATTCTAAGATTCCTAGACAGTATGCCACTTGTACTGAGGCACAATGGTTATTGGCATGTTTGTTAAAAAGTTAGTTAATCAGGGTTGTACTATGGTCATCAGAAGGCTTCCCCAGTTTCACAGAAATGAATGTAATATTTAAGTATAAAATACACAGTGACACAGGCTTTCTTTGTGTTGTATAACTTACCCCTGTCGTACAATATAATTAGGACTGAATTGTTTTGGTTATTTAAAACTAGATTCTGATGCTGGATTGGCAAACCCTTATTCTACTAGTAAGGTAGAAAGTGGACCAACTTTATTGTAGATATGGAAAACAGGCAAATTCCAGCCCTACTATGGGTGTCAAACCTAAGAACTTTTTTTAACCCACTGATTGATTCTGTATATATTTAGGATCCTTTCATTCTTATGGAACTTCAATATATAATTTTGTGTGTGTGCACATTAATAATTAGAACATTTCTACTTGTCTGCTATCATCCTATAATTTTTTTAAAGCATTTGAAATTTATTAATAGCCTTCTTTTTATATTTTCTTCTGTTTAATTCTCCTAACACCTTGTATGTTAATAGGATAGGTAAAGAGAATAAAACTAGCTTAAAAATACACATACACAAATATTTTTATTTTGGAGAATTTTATTTATTAAATTAAAAATTGTCTTCTAAAATCAAGCTCTTCTCTGCTGGATAGAATTGAATTTAGGCTAACTAACATTGGTTGAACTTTCAGCAATGGAATGATGCTGGTATTTCCATAGAATATCAAATGGCTAGGGTTGTGAAGTTAAAAATTAACTGATCTTAGAAAGCATTGGGTGGGAATCAAATGAATTGCTTTCCATCGAATATATGCATACTTGTCTTACCTGCATATCTAGTTTTTTAAAATAAACTCTTAACTTTTGAAAAATCACTGAAGTTGCTTTTTTGCTCTTTATAATTTTAGGCCCATCCAAAATATTTGAGTTGTATTGCAATCAGCTGTTTTTTCCTAGCTGCCAAGACTATTGAGGAAGATGAGGTAAATGTTTTTCTTTAAAAATTAGTTATGTCTCTTTTTTGACTATTTCTCTCCATTTGTTCACCTGCTTTTTGTTTATTAAAATGAAAGTTGAAAATGAAACTTTTCTGTCCTCTCCTCCCTATCCCTCTTTGGTTTGGATAGAGAATTCCAGTACTGAAGGTGTTGGCAAGAGACAGTTTCTGCGGATGTTCTTCATCTGAAATTCTGAGGATGGAGAGAATTATTTTGGATAAGTTGAATTGGGACCTTCACACAGCCACACCATTGGATTTTCTTCACATTGTAAATATACCTAAGTTTTTTAGTTTCTTATTTGAATACTAGAGGCCCAGTGCACGACATTCGTGCATTCAGGGCGGGGCGGCGGAGTGGGGGGCAGTCCCTCAGCCTGGTCTGCACCCTTTTGCAGTCCGAGAGCCCTCAGGGGATGTCTGACTGACAGCAGTCGGACATCCTTAGCGCTGCCACGGAGGTGGGCCGCTATGCTCGCCAGTCGTGAGCCTGGCTTGTGGCTGAGCGGTGCTCCCTCTTTGGGAGTGCACTGACCACCAGGGGCAACTCCTGCGTTGAGCATCTGCCTCTTGGTTGTCAGTGCATGTCATAGCAACCGGTCGTTCCACTGTTCAGTCCATTTGCATATTACCTTTTTATTATATAAAATATAATCCTATTTTAGTAACTAGAAAAGTAGATTGCCTGATCATTTGTTTTGTTCTGAATTTTAGGAAAAGGGAACTTACTGCAAATAGCTAAGGAAAAATTAGAAATTAGGTGTATGTCAAATCACTGAAGCTAACATCAAAATTGAAAATTGAGTAACACTAAAAGTTTCATCAATTTCTATACATAATTTACCTAGACATTTAAGTAAAACTAGAATGATGATCTTGTGATTTTTTTTCCCCCCCACCAGTTCCATGCCATTGCAGTATCAACTAGGCCTCAGTTACTTTTCAGTTTGCCTAAACTGAGCCCATCTCAACATTTGGCAATCCTAACCAAGCAACTACTTCACTGTATGGCCTGCAACCAATTTCTGCAATTCAAAGGATCCATGCTTGCTCTGGCCATGGTTAGTTTGGAAATGGAGAAACTCATTCCTGATTGGCTTCCCCTTACAATTGAACTGCTTCAAAAAGCACAGGTAGGTGTCAGTCTAATTAAATACTGTTCATTTCAAGTATATCTCTTACTTGGATAAATAGGGTTACCAGATGGTTATAACACTAAGAGACATTTCTAATCTTAAAATGGCAAACCATTTTTAAGAGTAGATAAAGGTAAAGTAATTTACACTTTCAGTTTATGGGCTAGTCTTTTTTATTCCTGTAAAACTTATATAGTATTTTCTTGATTCTTTTAAACTTTAAACCCTTCTTCTAGATTACTTAAAACTTTAAGAATCTTGAAAAAGTTAATATGATTTTCAATTATATATTTTCCTTTAGTTTTGTATGAAAAATCTTTCTAGCTGCATTTGTAGGTTTCATTATAGTACTTTACTCATTTTATAAAAGATGCATCAAAAACATAAATTGTAAGAAGTTGTTTTTTTTAGACAAGCACATAATTTAATGTTGGTTAGAAAGGGAAGTATTTGTACCAGAGTTTTTGGAAGGGTGAAGCTCTCATTCTGAAAGAGGTTTAGTCCTGGTAGTTCCTGTTGTTGCCTGAGATTAGTCCGTCACTTGTATTTGCAAATTGGTATAAAATGTTATGGGTCATTTAAATTTTTATCGGCATCTATATAAAATGTAACTGTTTAGTGGGAAAATTCTCATTCGAGTGGAAAGTTAGTAATGGTGCTATATGTTACTAATTACTTCAAGAGAATTCTTATTAGTTCTACTCATGTGACCAAGTAGAACTTACAAATTTAGATCTGTAAACCTACTCCTGTCAACTGAATCTGTAAAAGAGTTAGGAACTTACTTTCCCTTTATATGTCCCTGTTCTCATTTGGCAGTAGTTACTCTGATTTGTTTTATTGGATTTTATTTAGAGAAAAGGCTTAAATTCTGAGCTTAAAAACATTTTTAATATAGAAACTAATTTTAGTAAAGAGGCTACAGTTATATTAATAAAATTTATAAGAGAATATTATAAAAGAAAAATGAGAATAATACTTGAGTTTGGTGTTTTGTGTAAATTAGTTATAACTAATGATGTTATAGATGTGAGCTGTAGAAGTCAGCAAACATACAAGAAGTGCCTTAGGGCTATCTCTTAGCTTTGAGAATTTCAGGCCCTAGTTTGTCAGCAGAGAAAGACATTATAAAAAGGGTAGTGATCAGAGCAACACATTAGCCAGAGCACCACCATTCTTCTGTGTGTTTTGTTCCACTGTTTTTAGCATGGCTCAGCTTGTTCTTCATTTCTGGGACATGTGATGTTAGTGTAACAAGGGTGTTTCTTCTTTACAAGTGAGATATATTCTTTTAATAGCATATGTTATATTGAAATAATTGAGAAGTGTTCATTTCTATTGAAATAAATGCTATAATGAAAGTAAATCCTAGGAGAAAGTTGCTATTTTGTGAGAAGTTTTAGAAACTATCATAAACCATCAATCATACCATATATATGAATAGTGTAGCACAGAAAATTTATTTTGCCTACCTAGAGTGTTGGAAAAATGAAATTGAATATTAATCATTACATTATATTACATTATGTTAGGCTGTGGCAGTAGGGAAGCGGCATTAATAGAAAACCACCTATATTATATTTTACTAGAGGCCTGGTGCATGAATTCATGCGCCAGTGGGGTCCCTTGGCCTGGCCTTCGTGATCGGGCCCAAACCGGCTCTCCAACATCCCCTGAGGGGTCCCAGATTGTGAGAGAGCGCAGGCCAGGCCGAGGGACCCCTCTGGTGCATGACTGGGTCTGGGGAGGGATGCAGGAGGTTGGCCAGTGGGGGAGGGTCCGTGGAAGGGCTCCAGGGTATGCCCAGCCCTTCTCGCTCAGTCCCGATTGGCCAGACCCCAGCAGCAAGCTAACCTACCTGTCTGAGCATCTGCCCCCTGGTGCACCTCATAGCGACTGGTCAACTCTCTGCCCCCTGGTGGTCAGTGCACGTCATAGCGAGTGGTTGAGTGGCCTTAGCATGTCATTAGCATATGATGCTTTGATTGAACGGACAACCTGACACTAAGCATATTGGGCTTCTATTATATAGGATTTTTTTTTATTGGAACAAGTGACATCCTTCTAAATGCCACTTGATTTGGTCTCTGTGCCTATTCCCAAGCTAGCACACAGAAAATTTGCTATATGAAGTGTTACTGTCACAGAGAAAGGACAGACTTTGAAGCATAGATAAAAAGAATGTAAACAGCATGTGTATTTCTGTAGCTTTGAGGGCTGTTCTCTACTGAAGAACACTGGAGAAGCTGCTGCTTCTCTCTCATAAGTCTGGTGCTGGAAGAAGGAAGCGTTCACTGAGTCTTGCTTCTCTCTTTACTGAAGGAGTATCATAAGCTTAGAATTGAAGGAATCTTCTTAGAAATAATTTCATTCAACTCCTTTATTTTATCCTGTAGTCCAGGGAACATGGGACTTTTTCAGAGACACACAGGACTCCTTAGTAGTAAAGTAGACAAAAACACGGTGCTGTTTCAATACCACACAAACTTTAAAGATTCTAGTCCAGTGGTTTTTAGAGTTTCTTTCAGAACTGGAACCCCTTCCCTCACCCCCAACAAAATCAGCACCCCCAACACACAATCCCAGAATACAAAATAGAAAAGTATCACTTGATTATATGTGTTTAGGGCAGAGACCTGTTGGGTCCAGAGTCCTACTCAATATGGCCTCTTCCCTTCTGTAAGCTGTTTGAACATTGTTTGAAAACCACTGTTCCATTCTTTTATATAATATAAATAGTTATAGTCCACAAAAATTTATTGGGAACTCTATGATCTAGGCACTGGGAATATCGTGATTATAAAAAGAAACTCTGCCCCATGTAGTATTCAAGTTACAATTGGGGAGATAGTTAAAAACAAGGTCAGAAAACTTTTAGAGACTTTGGGACTTAATCTTAGCAGTTCTCTAAAACCATCTTGGATTGGTGGCCAACCCTTGTGGCCCAAACCTGATGGCTCCTGATTCTTCAAGATTCAGTTCTGTCTTTGCTAAGTTCACCTGTCTTTAGGTAATCTTTGTGATTAGACCTGAGACAAAGCCATAGTAATATCAGATATTCCTCCTGGATTTCTGATTCTGGTATAGGAAATTCATATTGGTGAGATCATGCCAGAATTACGTCTGACATGTTTCCCTTTGCTCTGGTTGAGAGGACTGCCAGTGGCCCATCACAGACATTTCATGCTATGCGGAGGCCACTGTCACTAGCTCTGCCTGTGTTCCTTCCAGACTTAAAAGTACAGTGAGTGTTCCCTGGTTTGAAAGACAAGCTTCCTCTTGTCCCTCCTAGTTTCCCCACCCCTATTAGCTCATATGCTACCTGTTGGTCAACATTCTGAGATGCCTAAACCCTTTTCTCTTCATACCCTTTCTCTCATTACTCTAATTCTGTGGCTATCCTCAGTGTCCTCCTTTTCCTGACTGATTTGGCCCTCCTTGATAATCTTAGGATGTTAAAACTTACCCAAATTCAAAGTAGATGTTCCCTGCTGTATAATATAAAAATTAAGAGTAGTGAGTTAAAGAAGCAGACCCTCCTTACCAGGGTCTCCCAGTTCTTCTTGAAGGTGTCTAAGATCAGACTGTTTCAATAGGATTTCTCAGACCTTCATGCTGTGCAGTGAACCTGGATCCGTCTGAACCTATTACTTATGTCTTGCTGTTCTCTTCCCCCTTTCCAGCAGTAAACTATTTGGATGTCTACCCTGTAAACTTTGTGTTTAATCTCTAATATCTTTCTAGTTGTATCACTTTTACTAGTAAACAGCATATTTTTATTGATTGCAGAGAGAAAGAGAAAGAGAGAGAGAGAAACATCAATGTTGAGAGAGAATCATTGATCAGCTGCCTTCTGCATGTCCCTTACTGGGGATCAAGCCCTTAACCAGGGCATGTGCCCTTGACCGGGATCGAATTGGGACCCTTCAGTCCACAGGTCGACGCTCTATCCACTGAGCCAAACCAGCTAGGGCTAATAGTATAATTTTCTGCTAGTTCTCATCTCTATAACATTTACTTAGTTTTTTTCCACAGTGAAAGATTATAGTGACATAGTCTTCCTTTTACTTGAAATTCATCTCTTTTCCGAATTCTGCTGTGGTATTATGCCTAATGATCAAAGCAGTAGAATATTTATAGTACTTTTACTTTTCTAGGACACTAAGTATCACTCATTTGCTAAAGCACAGTTTATTAAGCTAGGTACTTACTTTTTAGAGATCATTTTTACACTATAGTCTTTTTTCACTTTCCAATTTTTTATTTCTATCACCTCTTTTTTGTTGGCTTCTTGAAGTACTGGCTAGGGTACCAATCACCTTAAGGAACTTTGAAATCCCATCCCTTTTCTGTGTGCTTTGTTCCACTGTTTTCCTGGGTAACAAGTAATGAATATATTTAGAGATAAAAACAATCTGTGACCAAATGTGTTCTTGCAGAGTATGTTTTTTTTCTGTTATTTTTCTGTGGTATTGCAAACAGTCATGCTTGTGTGCTACAGTTTATATAGATGTGAATAAAACTTGGTTAAGAAATATCCAAAAATGCTTATGAAATATATGACTGGAAAGTGATCCTTTGATAGTTAAATAGGCTTCCAGGAGGGTGGTGGTAATTAGCCAGACCTGGAAGGTAATAGGTAGGTAATACAATTTCAACAAGTAGAAACAGGATGAATAAGAGTAAAGTAAGAAAGGGCAAGATTTGTACAGAATAGAGAGCAGGCCCATTTGGCAGGAATGGAGAGCACAAATTGGGATATGTTAGGAAATAAGGCTGGATAAGAAGGCTGGGGTCAGATTGTGGAGACCTTCTTAATAGCAAGCTAAAGAAGTGAGCTTATTGCTGGTAGGCATTGGGGTGCCACCAAAGAACTTTGAATAGGGAAGAAATATATGTTGCTAGAGGAAGATTATTTTGAGTACAGCTATAATTACAGAGAACAGAGGGCTGAGACTAATGACTCTTTACCAGAGGTAAGATTTTGAAGGCCTTCCAAAAGATCTTGGAATCTTATAGTCTATAATAGAAAAGTTAAATGTTTAAATAGATCATGCTGATACAATGTGGTTGAGTTTGATGACAGGTTGATGTAGAAACAGATGATTCTGGAATTTGGGTGTGTAAAGGGCTGGGGGGAGTCGAGGGTGGCTTCAGGAAGGATTGATATTTGAACTGTCCTGAAGGGTAAGAAGGAATTAGTGTAACTCACAAATTAAACAAAAACAATTAGTGTAACTCCAAATTAAACAAAATCATTTCTTCCTAGTGTTGTCAAGCCTGCTATTTTTCTACAAAAATATGACTTGTCAAAAGTTCTCACTTACTGTCTAAAAAGCAAAATACTTAAATTATTCTCAAGGCCAGGAAGCCTTTCCTATTTCCTATTTAAATTTTTTCTTGCCTCTGGCTTCTTCTTTAAATTCTTAATTTTAATCACTGAAGAGATTAGAAGAGGCAGGGGAATGGACTGGACAAAAGCAGTTGTGGATATGTAGCAGTGAACACAAGAGAATCGATTTTACTTTCATGAAGATGTTCAGCATACAATCGCAAATACAGAATTCAAGTTTCAAAGATATTTATATTAAAAATACAGAATTTGGGCATAATTCCTAAGATGATAGGTAAGCTGGAGGAATAGATGGGTTTGAGGTAGAAGATACGGGGCGAGGAAAGGAAGCTGGGGTGCAGAGGGCACAGGATAGAAACGCAGCCAGCAATGGTGACGGAGCAGCCAATGTTAATTAAATTATCAACTTTTTTCCCTCCCCCCCATCCCAGATGGATAGCTCCCAGTTGATCCACTGTCGGGAGCTTGTGGCACATCACCTTTCTACTCTGCAGTCTTCCTTGCCTCTAAATTCCGTTTATGTCTACCGTCCCCTCAAGCACACCCTGGTGACCTGTGACAAAGGAGTGTTCAGATTACATCCCTCCTCTGTCCCAGGCCCAGATTTCTCCAAGGACAACAGCAAACCAGAAGTGCCAGTCAGAGGTACAGCAGCCTTCTATCATCATCTCCCAGCTGCCAGTGTCTGCAAGCATGCCTCTGCCAAACGCAAAGTAGAGGAAATGGAAGTGGATGACTTCTATGATGGAATCAAACGGCTCTATAATGAAGATAATGCTTCAGAAAATGTGGGGTCTGTGTGTGGCACTGATCTGTCAAGGCAGGAGGGACATGCTTCCCCTTGTCCTCCTCTGCAGCCTGTGTCTGTCATGTAGCTTCAGGTGTTACCTTTAAGTGCAAGCTGAGGTCTACTACTCTGGGAGCAGGAACATGGAAGACCAGGGAAGGTATATACTGAGTCAGGCTGATTTGAAGTGAGCCAGAAAAGAAACAAAACCATTTATTAGTGTGGCTAATTATAATTCAACATTATTTAAGCACTTAAAGACCAAATAAAAGTATAAAATTCAAAAGATCCAACAATTTTCAGTAAAAAATTTCTTTGTAGTATTTGTCAATTCTGCCATTTACTCTGCTAAAATGTAATGTAGGTTCCCCATGTTAAAAATTCACATTCAGTGTTGTGTTTTTTTAAGTCCTAAAATTCATAGCTAGCAAACCCTGTCCCATGTCCTGACTTAATTTTCCTCTTGCTTTTGCTTGCTTTTTTATTGAATACTTAATGAATTTTATGCATGTTGATCTATAGCCTGACTTCCACTGATTAGGAAACCCTCAAAATTATTTTTTAGCAATTCAGTGAACAGATTATTTCAGATTGACGGCCATATTTAATCCATGATTCAAATTCAAATTAATCTGAAAAGGTACTTCAAAATTGCCCCAAATGAATCAGAGATGATAATAGACAAAGGACTCACATTGCCACATTGATTTTTGTATTTGTCTCATTTCAGTTTCTAGGATTTGGGAAAAAAAATTATTTTTATTTTTGATGATCTTAAACTGAAACTTAAAAGTGTCATATAATTAGGATACTTTTAGATTTGCTAAAGCATTTTTGACATTTGGATAAGAAATTTGTGATAAATATGTTGAAGTACTTATCAAAGAAACATGTAACAACTAAAATTTAGATTTTATTTTTTTGTAATTTATCAGCTCCTTTTCACTCTATAATCAGTAGGAGAGACTGTCGTGATGTTGGGGCAGCTCTATGATTGGGTCTGTGACATGTAAAACTGAATTTAGTTCCCTAGTTTTATGTTAAGCTATTAGGATTTTCTGGATAAAAGTTATTCTCTGCCTCCCAAGCCTACCTATATTTCTCTTAGTGACTCCTGTAATCTGAGCTCCCTGTGCAGTCTGAAGAAGGTATTGCAGCCAGAACCAGCCATGTACTGATGATGATAAAAGCCGCTGGTAGCAATAAACGTTGTCCTTAACCTTGTTGTAATCTTTTTTTTTGCTTGTGAAGAAGTGCAAGTTCTTGATTGCTTAAGCACTGCTATTTAAACTGGAAAATGATAAAAGTCCTAAGAATGTGCTTCATAGAAAATAATACATGAAGGAAGGGATTTAAATATGAAGGATGCAGGTCATATATATACTAGAGGCCTGGTGCACAGATTCGTGCACCAGTGGGGTCCCTCGGCCTGGCCTGTGGGGATCGGGCCGAAACTGGCTCTTCAACATCGCCCAACTGGTTCCAGATTGTGAGAGGGCAGTTTTCAGGTGATGCACCCCGGAATCGGGCTCCTTCCTATCTGGTTCCGGGTGCGTCACCTGAGAACCATAACTGCCAAGTCACTGCAGCTTGGCAGCTCCTGCATTGAGTGTCTGCCCCCTGGTGGTCATTACATGCCATAGCTACTGGCCGGTCAGCCAGTCACTTAGGCTTTTATATATATAGATATATAGATTTCAGAGAGGAAGAGAGACAGAAACATCAATGATGAGAATCATTGATTGGCTGCTTCCTGCATACCACCCACTGGGGACCGAGCCTGCAACCCAGGCATGTGCCCTGACTGGAATCGAACTGTGCCCTCCTGGTTCATAGGTTGACGCTCAACCACTGAACCATACCACTGGGCAGGATGTAGGGTTTTGACACTTAATTTTTCTTTTATGTTATTTTCTCACTGGTGGACTGTGGACCTTCCAAACATTAAATTCTCATCTTAATGGAACTGTTTTCGAGATCAGGCACAGATCCACGTCTAGATAATATGGCATTTTAACCTATTGATTTTGTTCCACTTTAGCAGAGGACGATTATTCTCGTGTCAGCATTTGACTTTCTTCAAATTCTTAGGATAGGGTTGGCTCCCTACCTGCTTATGACTTTACAATTCAATCAAAGTGAAAACTTACTTACGTGTAAGTAAAAGGAGGAAGGAAGATAAAAGAATGAACTGTTTGGGTGAAAATAGCAAGAGACTGGCAGATACGCATTAAAATAACCCATTTTTCCTAATCTCTTGTTGTGTTTCTTAATTTTCCTTAATTGTGGGAGCTTGAAGAAGTATACAAGTACATGTTCACCATTTCTGTGAAGTAAGTGGCACTTAAATTCCCCCCACCTCTACTTAACAGATGAGTAACATTTTTATTATGTAAAAAGCTAGTGATAACATTGCGTCTAGGGTCAGAATATTTCATTTGTAGTTCAATAGCTACTTTGAACAGAAGTTAGTGACAGGAAGATTTTAATTACTTGATTTTGAAGTTTTCTAATCTTACGAAAAAATTGCTGATAAATTCATTTGGAATATAGTATTGCTTTCATGGGTAACTAAATAGGGATGGTTAGCTGTTACGCCTCAAAGCTTATTTAATCCATAGTCAATTAAATGATAGTACTTTGGAGACCAGACCCTTCTGAGCACTCTCCCATAAACCTGGGCTCTTGGAGAACTTTGGGTCTGAACTCATGGATTGGGACAAAAAAGCACAGTATTCTTGAACAATGTGGAACTTTCATGAACATTTCTATTAAATTACATCCTGTTTTACCTGAAACTATTCTCATTAGCCTATCCCAGGTTACTTGACTTAAATCTTGGCATCACATCATAAACTATTCTCTTCCAAGATTTGAAAACTGTACCTTTATGGATCATAATGATCAGGTGCCTCCTGGTGGTTAGAAAACCTGGCATTTCCTTGAAGCCTGCACAAAGGTAAGGGCATAAACTGGATGGGCATAAGTCATTCAATAGAAAAAGTGAAAAGTGCATGCTGTACCTCGAAGATCAAACTAGGAGAAGCTAAATATGTACTTCATTCTTTTTGCAAGATTGGTATGAAGTTGGTTATCCGTAGAGAACTACATGTTTTATCTACAGGTGATGTCCAATATTAGTGTGGAAGGGGAGGGGAGGTTTGGGAAGGGGCGGTTCCCCAAATGTCAGATACAACTGATTTGTCAGAAATGTTCTTGAAATTATGCCTCTGGCTCTGAAGGAACTAGAGCATAGCTCTTCAGTCACGCTGATGTGAGCATCTGAGCCTGCATTCCCACCATTGAGGGGACTTAGACATTGCTTTCTGCCCCCCACCCCAAGAAGTATTTTTTCTTTTCTCCTGTGTTGTTAAACCAACATGTGTGCATGTCCTCTGCACTCTGCATACCTGGATTTCCAAGCTGCCGAATTTACTCAGTCTAGAGTTCCTGAAACCAGAAAGCACAGTGGCCTTTCACTAAAAATGTGATTCAGTCACCAATGCTTAGCCAACATGGTGGGAGCTCGTTATCTTCATCCTTAAGGCAGTTTGTACATTTTCAACTGGAAAGGGTAGGTACTGTGCCAAATGTTCCCACAATCATCCTGGGAGATAGCATGCCTTGTGCACATTATCAAGTTGAGGGTTGGATGATTGTCCAATGCCGTATAGCTAAGACTTTTTAACAAATTTCAAAGTCCAACTCATCTCAAATTTTTAGCCTTTATATTTGATACCATTAAATTTTTTCTAGCATAATTGTTACTTCTGAAGCCTCCAGAATTCTTGAAATTAGCCTTTAAACTGTGTTAATACAGTGTCTCCTACACCTGTTATTGTCTTGAGCTTTGGCCACTAGATGGTGCTTCTAGGAAAATGAAACATCTTAAATTTCTGGGAGAAATTGAGTTGTTTGGTTTACTGTATGGGAATGAGTAGTTGAACACTCATCTCTTGTTGCAAGGCAATATTCAACATCAATTGCAATTACAAATTCACGTTACAATATGCCAGGATTGTTGACCTGTTACACAACAGTGGGACAAAGAATAGCATAGGCCTAGTGAACTGGCTTCTCACTTCTCAGAAACAGCTTATTTGGGCAAGAGGACACTGCAAAATAAAAGGCAACCTTAAGCAACTACTGAAAAGCAATTGGTGGTGGTACGCTTTTGCTTTTCAGAATATGATCTATCCAGCAATTTAGCATAGAAAGGGCTTACCTTTTTACTCAAGAAGTTTGCTTATAAGGTATACGGAAAGAGTGCAATTCATGGTTCCTGACTATATCTCCAGCACCTGATGTAGGCCTAATGCTGAATATAGAATAAAAAAGTATTTGGAAAGAGGGAGGGTGTGGGAAAGGTGGGTGGATGGATGGGAATAAGGGCAAGGAGAGGTCTAAAAGCATTCATTGTACAGAGAATGTGTGGTTGAGCCAAGCTCTATATAGAATGTTTTTCTGTACGCTCCCCCCCATACACACTTGTCTTGTGGGACAGGGACCAACCTTGTTACGTAATAGCCTCTGCCTCCTCTGATCTATCAAGATGCAATAATTTTGAAGTTTCCACAGCGAACTGAAAATGTCATTCAACTCATAGCGCTGAGTATGAGCCAGATGTGAGTCATGTGTATCTCACCTGAATGTCCCACTGACAACCAAAAGATCTCACTTGTATATAGCTACTTGTCAGAATAGTAATGTTGGAGAGAGAGGTGAGTGGATACCTAGACTCACAATGAACATATCCTCGCCCCTCACCAGCCTTGGGGGTGCCAGTTGCCTGCTAGAGATTGTTCTGAAAGCCCAATGGGTCAATCACAAGGACTAAACACCATGGCCTTCAGAATTCAAGTACAAGGGTATTCAAAGTGAGCTGCATGCCATCCATGCCGATCTCCAGGGTGGAAAGATAAGTCATCTGCTAAGCAAAAGGTTTTGTGTAGAAACGTCATTTGAATAGTGAAAATTATGTCCTTAGTTTTTCAGATATTGGAACTTTTTACCCATAAGCTGGGCCAACGATAGGCAAAAATAAAACCAAAAAACTGAAATAACTAAGAAGGAAGTTTCATTTGAAGGTATAGTTGATGGGAAAGTTTGGCCAACCATATTAGAAAGATGACCTAATTTTATCTGCCCCACTTCAGCACATACTGATTCAGGAAATCAATCTACTAATGCTGCGGCAGCATCTGGCAGACCAGGCCACACCTGGAGCAATAAAGCACAGCCTGTATCTGAAACCAAGTAATATTTTTAAAGATTGAATGGGAAATAGCTTACCAATGCAAATAGGTTTTGGGGATAAATTCTTGCTTTTTCCGTCTACCATGGAATAAGTGAATTTTTATTACTGATAATTAGCTCTGCGATGGTTTCATAGCCAGAACTTGAGAACCTACCAGTGTTATCAGCACTTGAGAAAAGGAACCCCATTGAAGTAAAATGCCGGCTAAATGGAGAGAGGGCAGTGCATTAGACCAGTGGTGTGTGTCTGTGATCAGCTTTTCCTCCGTAACTGAGCAGAGGCCAATCCTATAGAATAAAAGCCTAATATGCAAATTGTTCCCTTGGGCAGTCATTTGACCGCTGGCTATGATGTGTGCTGATGACCAAGGGGCTGCGCAGAACATGGCAGGTGACACAGCGTTGGCAGCAGACAGCAGTGGAGGCGCTGCCAGCCCCGATGGGCCCCGATGAGAGCGGGACCACGGTAGGATGGTGGAGCAGGTAAGCAGGCAGCGCCAGGTCAAGGCAGGTGCGAGTGGGGGCCTGATCGCCCCACCCATTGCTCCACAGACAGTGACTAGCAGCAGCGGCAAGGGGCGCTGAGGGAGCCAGGCAGGGGATCGCCCAGCAGGTGGGATGGTGGGGCAGGTGAGGGGGTGGCATCAGGCCAAGGTGGGGTGCCAGGCAGGGCTTCGGGGCTGTGAGGCTGTGGGTGCGAGCTGGGGCCCATCTCTGCAGGCCACCCTGAGGGACCCCACCCATGCACGAATTCGTGCACAGGGTCTCTATCTACTTATAATAGCTTGTTCCCTAATCCCTCTCATTAAGATGATTACTATTACACTCCCTTTAATCAGAGGTCTAAAAAGGAAAAAAAGGAATAGCAACAATAGACTACATATCTCTCTACTTAAAATATCCTGCCTAATTTGATTTTTAAATATTGGTCAATAAATGTCTACAACCGAATGCAGAATTTGTTTTTAAAATGAGTGCTAGGGTAAAGTTGATATTAAAATATTAAAAATAAGGAGTTTAAAAATTTAAAGTTTTTTAGTGACTACAGTGGTTTCACAGGCAATAGTTTACCATATAATTGGTATGTTAATTTGTCATGTTCTAGCATTAAATGAGTGAGTACCCACCCATCCTCCCCCTCCAGCTACTGGTCACTAGCAGATTTCTATCCTTACAGGTTATACTTGAAGGGATGGCTCTTTACTCATAATTTGATCATTTAATGACTCAGATGAATCTGACTATTGCATTTAATCACAGTGTCTAAGTAAAAAAAGACATGCTCATCTAATTGCTCTAAACTTCTTTCCAAGAATTCAATGATTCGAGAGGCAGGGGCTGTTCCTTCATCTCACCCTCCAACAGAAGCCTGTGTCACCATTCTTAAGTAGAGGGGACATTCCAAAGGATCTTCGCATGCAACTCGTGCCACCAACGTTTCTGTGATCTACCTACTGTGGGGCTGAAAAAGGATGGAAACAAGCAAAAACTATAGACGAGTAGTGAGGTTAAAGGGCAACTTAAAAGCCACCTGGTATTCTGAGAAGACTGGATCAGAACCACTGCTAACGAGGCTGTTGTCTGGGACGGGCTGGGTGCTTTTTCAGGGTTCACTTCCCATGGCCCAAGACACAACTCTGGACAGAGCTTCACATAAATACAAAGGCAGGGATGGACCAGGAAGTTACTGTAAGGTCCCTTTAAATATAAACTGAGTCCCAGAGGCAGGAAAGTATCTACCCAGGACTGGCACATTTGAAACATGTAGGTCAAAACCTCTGACAGCAGAAGGTTTTTTGTGTATGTGTGTCTGAGATGAGACCATTTTAAGAGAATTCTTTGACTTCACTTAAATTTCTCCTTGAGCTTAAAACTAGCTTAATTTTGATACCAGAACTAAGTTTGAATAACCAATACATAAAGCAGAACTGGCTTTTTTTTTTTTGCAAAACAGAATCCCAAACCCAAAACAATAAGGGATGCAGGTAACAGAAAAAGAGTCAAATAAAACAACAGAAGTTCGTGAATTTAAAGGAAGGATGCCCACTTCTCTCTCTCAAGAGGCAGATGGTCAGCTGAAAAATAAAAACATTGTATCAGTAGAACACACCAACTAAAAAAAGATGCAGCCATCTCTGTTCATGCAATACCAAATATTTAAGAAAAAAACCCACCCAAACTCCAAAACAACCCATAAAATTAACGAAGGGAAGAAAAATGTTGCCCAGATCTCATGGCCTGATTTATGGTTGAGAAGGTCCTAATGGGGTTGTTCAGAATGTCATTCATGGGGCAGAGGTACGGAGTTAACATGAGGTCAAGTTTGTGAACCCTGCAGGTGGGGCCGCCTCAGGTCAGGGCACGTGCTGTCTTCAGTCCGTGAATTCTTGGACAGCAACGTCAAGAACCTGACTGTTAAGCAAGAGAGTCCCGACACAGGGCTACCTTGGGTCTTGGCCCCAGTTCTGTTTCACTCGATTTCCTTTGTAAATAGTATAACTTTTTGGTAGTGATAAGTCACTTCAGTAACCACTATGGGTAGTGGCTTGTAAACAGACATTGACAAATACAAACAACAGTGAAATAGTCAACCCAGACTTTAAAAGGAGGCGATGGTGGAAATGAGGTAACTCTTCCCCAACACGTGTGAACAGACAGCTCCTGCTCTTCTAATGCTCTATGTCCATTAGGAGAGAGTAGGGCTTGTCAACAGGATGGTTACATAAAGAAGAAGCTACAGAAGAGAAAAAAGAAAGTTCAGATTCAAATGTGGTTCATAAAGGCTTAAAAATAAGAGTGTCTCTCTAACGAACTGGGAGAGGACAGCAGGGTCAGTTAAAGGGACCACTTCCCTGAGCACAGGTGTGAGCGCAGCAGCGCCGGCAGCAAAGGCCAGGCACGAAGAGGTGCCTCCGCTGGGCCTGGGCAGTGGGCACCAGGGGACACTGGCCAGGACGGAAGGGCTTGGGAATGGAGGGGGGAAGTGGTAGAGACGGCCTGTGAAGCACAGGACACCAGATGGTATCTTGGCGAAATGGGTGCTGCCCACCAGACGAGGCAAGGAAGCCAGGGCCTCTTCCCTGTTCCTTTTTTCCCATGTAATCAGCATGGGTGCACATGCATATCAAACAGGGACTAAAAGAACTCACAAAAGGGCACACGATGTTTGGGTAAAAATATATTTCCCCCCACGCTGTGTGTTGGCACTAGTGATATATGCATAGATTACCTGGCCACTCTCCTGCCGTAACAGACACCACATTACTGAGCATGTTTGCTAAGTGATTACCCTCATACTTGAAAAAATGATATGCTTCACATCGATACAATTATTTTAGTTTTTTTAAAAAAAGACAAGGCAAACATGCAGCTTACATATATGACAATTTTGCATTAACACTGAAAGTAGATTACACAACAGTTTTAGAAACACATTGGTTATTTTCAAATAGCAAAATGACAATGATCTACAACTACAGTTTAAGGCATATCAGCATATTTTAAAATTAAGAAATAGACAAAGTTCTAATGCTGTTCACAGCTTAATTTTCAATTTATTAAAAAAATTCCCTTCATACCTACATACAATCTAGACTTTGTAGGTCATAATTTCCACTCAGGAGTCATACATACATATTCTGTTAATGGAACCAAGACTTCTGGAAGCTGAGACTTGACAGTTTCACACACTTGCAAATGAAACAGCAGATGGTCTGAATGGACAGCTTTGGTAGGACCACACAGAGACAGTATGACAAAGGTGGTAACAGCTGAAAAGCCTGATCAAACTGTATGTGAAACACATGGACATGTCAAGGAAGTGAGGAAACCAAGTCTATTTGTTTGAGGTGCACAGATGTGAAGAATATTTTTATTGCTGGTGAGATTACAAAGCAGAGGAGGAAGATAAGTAGCCTGTGCCCAGCTTTACGTTAAATGTCCCCATTGGAGGTGCCCTTTCTGGACAGAATCCTGACCAATTAATAAAGAGCCTAAGCTGGAAACACAGTCTGACCTCCCAATAAATTCTCATAAATGTTTTCCCACCACATCCTACTGCATGCACAACTACTACGGTATCTGAAGTCCAGGAGAGGCACAAGGTTGGCCATTATGATTGAACAGGGGAGGGGCCAGCTGGAGCTGCCTGGCTTAAAAAAAAGAGGTGATCACTGCCCGCCGTTAGCACGAGGGCCAGGCCATTCAAGCAAGATCACAAAAAATTAAACAGCCATAGAGGCAGCCTAGCATAAGCAATATTTCCTCTTGATTTTCTCCAGTCGAAGGTGGTAGTTCCTCATTCTAACTGTATTTACATAGAACCAAGGGCCCTCTGTAATATATCTGACACCCACAGTGCTGTGTGGTGGGGGACTAGTAATTTCTGACTTCCATACTGATATCAAAGAAAAATTGAATTTATGTGTTTCTCATGAAAAATGATATAAAATTGGCCATTTTAAATATAGTTAGCTTTTATTTTTAAACCAAAAGCTTCTCAAACCATTACTTCCCTTTCCCCCTCCAAAAAGGAAAAAAAAAATCCACCTATCCCATGTTTCTCTAATTTTAAAGTCAGAAAAATCTCAAAGGTTTCTTACTACCGTACTTACATGCAAAGGCGAAAGCACATCCAATTAGATTGGAGGGTATCATTTACTCCGTGCAGAGCCAAGGACTACTGTGAAAAAAGGCACAGATACAGAAAGAAGGACAGCAATAACAAACCAAACAGGGCCAGGGAGCAGGGGTAGGAGAAAGTTCAGAAGCAACGCATTTTTAAAAAGCTTCTCTAGACTATATATTTCTTTTGGCTTTTTATTCTCTGACTCTCCATATGATTTCTCTTACTGTGAAAATTTAATGGGGAAAAATCAATCAATAATCTTGGAATCAAAGTCAGCTGGATGCCTTTCACGGCTAGGCTCGCTTTAAAGAGGGTTTAGTGATGCTCTAAAAATGATCTTAAAGTGATGCATTTTGAGAATTTAGAAGTGTATTTTCTGTTACAAAGCACAAAAATGCTCACACAAGCAGCGGCTGGGACAAGCATACAACACGAGGATTCAAGCTTTTGTCTGGTGCAAGCAAATGAGCAAATTCAGCCCGTGGTTAGAATCAGCAAGCCATCCGATAGCCGCTGCTCCACAGCCAGCATCACACTAGAATCGTAAAAAGAAAAAAAAAAGACAAAAACAGAAACCTTGGCCCAGTTACCCTGAAACCTGTCTCTGTATCACTAACGCTGCTCCTAGTTTGCAGTTCTGTCCCAGCTTCGTTAGTGCTTCAATGAAACCGATTTCTTAACTTGGCCTAATTAAGCCAAATCAGTTCATGGAAGACCATTCCTTTCCCCTAAGAGTATGGTTGAGGACCAAGAGAAGGGAAAAATAATCTTGACTGGAATCATCTATAGACTTAAAAATGTGTGTGTGTGTTTGTGTCAGGGGAGGTGCAGTGCACTCTATGCTATTTATGTAGGACTAGTAAGTCCAGAAGGAAAATGCCGAAGGAAATACTAAAGCATCGAGCTCATGAGAATGCAGTCTTTCATGTAAGAACAGGAGACTATAGAGTTAGAGGGAAAGCTGGTAGGATCTTGTTATTAGGAGG